TTTTTTTTTTTGCTGTATTCATCTTTCCTCCGGCTTCTAAAGGTAGTCTGAGCAGCACACACCTGTTCCTTGAAGCCATAAATTGCAATAAAGGGAGACAGCTTATGTTGTTCTGAATTTGTCATTCGTTGCGGACGTTGTGTTGAAGGCTACTTCTGCTTTGGTGAGAGGTCGGTTGTCTCGAGATTTCTTTGGGTTTCATTGGCAATTAGGAATAATGAGTGTGGTGCTGTAGTGTTTTTGAGATTGTAAGTGTGAAGGTATTTTACGGATGTTATGTATACAAAGTTTAGGCAGAGCGTTACGATGATATGGCCCAGTCGATGAAGAAGGTTACTGAACTTGGTGCGGAACTTTCTAATGAAGAGCGGAATTTGCTGTCAGTCGCTTACAAGGTACGTGGGTGGTTGTGCGACTTTTGCGTGATTTTGGTTTAGTTTGGTTGATTGGGAAATCCCTGGTTTGGATTATGGCTATTTTAGAATGTTGTCGGAGCAAGACGTTCTTCGTGGCGAGTGATTTCCTCTATTGAACAAAAGACTGAAGGTTCTGAGAAAAAACAGCAAATGGCAAAGGAATACCGTGAGAAGGTTGAGAAAGAGCTCCGTGACATTTGCCAAGACGTTCTTGTAAGTTTGGTTTTTTACGTCATACATGCATATGGAACAGTCTTTCAAATGTCTAGTACTGGTTGTCTTCGTTTTCCAGAATTTGTTGGACAAATATCTTATCCCAAAGGCTGGCAACCCTGAGTCGAAAGTGTTTTATTTGAAAATGAAGGGCGATTACTACCGATACTTGGCGGAGGTCGCAAGCGGCGATGACAGAAATAGTAAGTATTGTTTGATTAGTTGTTCTTGTTTATTTTTACGCTTTAGTCGTGAATTTCCGAGCCAAGTTAGCTTGAAAATTTGCTTTGGATGGAAGTGAACCCATTCTATGGTGTCCACGTTTCCGTTTGGCCGCCTCGTAGAGTCAGGGTGCAGGTTAGAGTTATGATCCCGTTGTGTTTAGCGGTAGTGGAGAAGTCGCAGCAGTCGTACCAGGAGGCATTCGACATCGCGAAAGACAAAATGCAACCAACCCATCCTATCCGGCTTGGATTGGCTCTAAACTTCTCTGTGTTCTACTACGAAATCTTGAACGCACCCGACAAGGCTTGCCAACTTGCGAAACAGGTGTGCTCTAGTTTCTAGAATTTTATCTTTCTAATATTTCAGCGGTGGCGAAGCATGGGCAAGTTGCTTATACGGAGGCATATGAAATAGCCAAGACGCAGCTTGCCACGACTCATCCAGTTCGTCTGGGACTTGCTCTTAACTATAGCGTTTTCTTCTACGAAATTTCATCCAGTCCTGATCGTGCTTGCCAACTCGCTCAGCAGGTTGCATATCCCCTCAAAATGAATTTCGCAGTTTCTGGTTTTTTTCCGTTCCGACCTTTCCTTGCATTTCGTTCAAAGTATGGTGTGTTTTGGGTATTTTAGCTTACAGAGTTGGAAAGGATGTTGGGGACTGATTGGACATTGGGTAAGAAGCATAGAGGGGTTTTGTACACTTTTGCGACTGCAGAATCTTTTAGGTGGTGTTTAGTGCATTAACTGAAGGAAACGTTTTCAGGCCTTCGACGATGCGATTGCTGAACTGGATACGTTGAATGAGGATTCTTACAAGGACAGCACTCTGATTATGCAGCTTTTGCGGGACAATCTGACCCTGTGGACGTCAGACACCGCTACGGACGATCAGGAAGGGGGCGATCAGGCTGGGGAAGCGGGTGGCAATTAATGCAGATCCTTTGCCACATCTTCAGTTGTCTTGTCATTCTCGGGGGGTCATTTCTTACTGCTCTAAGATTGGTTATTCTGCAGTATGAGTTCTACGTTTATTACGTTTTCTGTCATGGCCTCGATAAATTTTTAGCTGTTATTAGTTTGAGCTTTATGCATCTCGATATTAACGGGGTTATATTTGGAGCAGTGGGATGTCGGGCCTTCATCATCTCTGATCTGAAAGTTTTAGCCCCCATTTTATTGTTTTTTGTAAATGAGGACTATCGCAATTTGACGTTTGTGTTAGCTTTGGCTCTGTTAAGCTGTTGTTTTGTTCGACACCTTCTCTCCAATATTTGTATAATTTAACAAACCTATTCTTCGTATTGTTGGTTCTTGATCCAAATTTGTTTGAGTTATTTTTTTTCGTTTAATGAATGGATTCTAATTAAGTTTCAAAGACATTTCAGGTTTCACGGTTGCGAAAGTCAGGTTGTTCCGTTTTGTTAGTGCTGAGGTTGATTAGATTTGCAAAGAACTGCTTAACTTTGGTTATTTAACACTTTGGCTCATAAAGTTGCATAATTATTTTTGCTTTCTGTGCATTGGCGTCTATTTTTTTGGAAACTTCAACACTTCTAAGTTAGTCGTTAGGGGGGAGGTAGGAGTGAGGGCGGTACCGGTGTGTGCTTTTGAATAGTGAGGTTTACCTCTACGGGCTCTGGTGTAAGTTGTTGATAGCGTTGGCGAAAGAGAGGATTAAGGTTTTGGTCTGGAGTTCTGGGGGGGTTGTGGCGGGAATGGTTTTGTTGGTGTTGTTTGGTTTTCAACTCGGTTTGTGAAGGGTTGGGAACCAGTCGTTTTTTTTTTTAACACTTCAGTTTTGCGGGCTTGAGGGAGGTGGATCTGGTTTGCTTGGGGTTTGTGGTTACTTGCGGTTGGTGTGGGCAGCAGACGCTTTGTGGGATAGGTGTTGCAGGTAGGAGGAGGGACGCGTTGTTGTCATTTTCCATACATCTTGCAGTGGCGGGATTTTGCATTTTTGAAATGCAGTTGTGTGGCTTTTGTTGTTTTTAGGCAACGGCTATGGATAATGTGATAGGGCATCGGTATTAGTGTTTAGGAAGTAATTGGTGTTAAGTGATGGCGGGAGTTTGAAAGTTCTAACGAAATGAGCGGCGTAGTGTTGAGGTTTTCTTGAAGGAGTGTAATATTGTTAGTTAGCAGTGCAAGTTACTGTCGGGTGTTCGGAGTAAAGGAAAAGAGGACAAGGAGAAGTGGACAACGGTTTACCGGTGATTAACTGGCGGAAGGAAATCTGACTTATTTTTATTT